GCTGAGCAGGAGAAAAAAAGGGGGAGCGCACAAGAAACCTTGAGAGAACATCGAGGGAGTAGTGAAGAAGACGAAGAACATCCGGCTCCGTGCCCACCTCTTCGATTCCGCTGTCCTTCCTGCCCTAACCTACGCCTCAGAGACTTGGACTCTGCGCAGGCAGGACGAGCATGCGGTCAGCGTTATCCAACGCGCTGTCGAGAGGACGATGCTAGGAGTAACCCTATACACGCAAGTGCAGAGGGGAATCCGGAGTGCCGAACTACGCCAACGATCGAAGATCAGGGACGCTGCCGTTTTCGCCAAGGAATCGAAGATAAGGTGGGCCGGACACGTCATGCGATTTTGCGATGACCGTTGGACCAGAGCGGTTACCGACTGGATCCCTCGGGACGTCAAACGAACACCTGGACCGATGGTCAGACTTCTTCACGAAAGCTCTGAACGAAAGGAATGAACGGACTTCGTGTCCCTCGAGCAAGGAGGATCCACTGGACCACTCTAGCACGCGACAGGGACGAATGGAGACGTTGCTGGCGCCCGCTCGAGCAATTCGATGATCAACGGGACGACAGGTGATACAGGTGATCGGTCACAGTGTATGCAGGATCTAGGGTGTAATTACGGTCAGCACGATCTCCAGAAAACAAAGATAGATAAGGGTGCTGTTTTTGACGAAGGAAGAAATCGGAAGGGTCAAAGTCGTCGCAGTTAGTTCTCAGTCGGCAGTCCATCTTGAGCGGTCGATTCCTAAACCGCTCTTCGGCACAACACTCCTGTGCTATTCTATTCCTGTACAACTACGTCACCGGCTGCTCGACAACCTTTATATCGACTCCTGCACACTACTCCGATACTCTGGTTGTGATTACATGGATTCGATATCGTCAATATCATATACTACTCCTTCAAATGAAGCTACTTCTTATTCCGACTTGCTAAAGCAAATCAGAGAAGATGAGGGAAGTGTTCCTTCTTACGTCAAAGTTATTATTAATGTTTTACTTGAAGCGAAGAAGGAAATCTCTCTTCTCACCTGCCAGTGTAACGCAATCCTCGCTGAAAAATAAGCTACTTAAGGAAGAAAATGAATCCCTCAAAGCCAAGCTGAAGAATTCCTTACCAACAGGAAATAGGGATGTTTCCAAACAGAAGTCTACCAGTCCTCTTCCCGAGTAATGCTGACAGAGAATCATCACAAAGTCGATCCCGATATTGCACGATCAATTGTCGTATCAGGAGTTCCAGAAAGTCAATCGCCTAACTCTGTCGATCGCGCTCATCATGATATTCAATGTATATATTCACGTATGTCTCTCTTCTAAATTTCTTAGGAATTGAATGTATCCCTTCTATGGTCTTCCGCATGGGTATTAAAAATAGTTCAAGGCCCAGACTTTTGAAAGTTGTACTACCTAGTAGTCGGTTCCAGATAGAAACAATCAAGAGAGCACCTCGATTACGTTTCTTTTCTCAGAGAGGTGTGTACATTCGACCTTCTCTCACAAAAGAGGAACGAGAACGTAGACGTGAGGCCCGTCAGAAAAATAGCGATCGCAATAACAACACAGCAGTTGAAACAACACAACGTAATAACTCCGAGCGTGCTAGTCAAAATGATGCTCCCCAGAATTCGATGGATACCACTTCACAGGGAAACCTCCGACCTCTCCTCGGCTAGAACCTAGGATAAAGTGTATCCTTTCTAATATACGATCATTGATAAAAAATTATAATTCTTTGGTTCTACTTCTACTTCATGAAAACTATGACCTGGTTCTTATTACAGAGACATGGCTCACCTCAAAACATGATACTACCCCCCTCCTAGGCGTTGTGAGCTCGCAATATGATGTTTTACGTTGTGATCGTCTCCAGAAAAGAGGTGGTGGAGTTCTTGCCCTAATCAAGAATACTATGTCTTACGAAATCGTTCACAAAGAATCACTGAACGATGCATTCGAAATACTTATAGTTGATCTCATTATTCGCCATCAGACTTTTAGATTAATACTAGTTTACAGAACCCCAATATGTAATACTCATAACTGCAGTTGTTGTGCAAGGTGATCAGTGACTTCAGCTGCAGCAATGCACCTTCCTTGATTGTAGGCGACTTCAATCTAGCTGATATTGATTGGCATGTTGATAACCAGTTTGCTGATTGCAACTCCATTTCTAGGGATTTCCTCGATATGTTCCGGTCGCACAACTTTGTACAATTTGTCAAAAACCCATCCCGGGGCGACTCATATCTTGATCTAGTTTTATGTAACGATGACCACTTGATTCATCGATTAGAAATGCAGGCTCCAATCGGTAATAGTGATCATGCTTCTATTATATTTGACCTTAATGTCAGTTCCCTGAATGTGGCTCCACGGAGATGGATCAGAGATTTCAACAAGGCTAATTACGGAGCTATTGGGAATTATCTGAGCGATATTGATTGGGTTGGATCTTTTGCAACTGTAAACTCGATTGAGGAGAAATACGAGCTATTCATTACGATACTAAACGACGCTATAAGCATTTTTGTTCCACTAGTGCATGCGTCGAAGAACGTCCGTTACAAGATCCCGCGATACCTTGAGAGAATGATTTGTCAACGGAGTCGCCTATGGAAAAATGCGGTATCAGGAGATTGTGATGCAAGCTGGGATGAATATAAAACTTTTGACATGAAACTAAATAAATGTATGACAAAATATAATGCATATTTAGAAAGGAAAATAACAGAGTCTACGGATCCCACTAAGCTATTTACCTACATCACTAAGCGTCTCAAAGACACTAAGAAGATACCGGCATTACGAATTGATGAAACTACCCTCGCTATACTTGACGGTGATAAGGCAGAAGTACTTGCTGAATCTTTCCAAAAGGTTTTCACGCGTGACAGAGACACTGCTTTGGATGAACTCCCATCATGCACTCATTCTATGGAACCATCACTATGGTTTCATAGGGACGAAATATACAGATTGCTATCGAAGTGGCCTAGTTCCTACTCTATAACACCAGATTTTGTCCCTCTCAATTTCATTAAAAACATCGCACAGTATATTGCCTTCCCACTAGAGCTCCTCTTCAACTTGTCATACATGAGATCTGAAGTTCCATCTCGGTGGAGGCATTCCTTCATTGTGCCCGTACCCAAAAAACCTCCCTTCAGTAATCCTTGCAACTATCGTCCCATAAGTATCACCTCTATTTTTTCCAGACTGTTCGAGAAAATAGTCAAATCAAAACTGACAACATTTCTCATGCATAATAACATCATTCCATCGTGCCAGCATGGTTTCTGTGCTGGAAAATCCACCGTAACTGCACTACTAAGTTCTCTCAATGACTGGTCTAGAGCCCTTGATACTCGTAAGCAAGTTCATGTTTTATATATTACCAGATTAGTCCCCCGTCAACCGCCGGGACCTTCCTTTCCTGCGCAAGCTTTCTATCCTCCGCTATGGTCCCTTCCTCCTGTGACACCAACACCTCGTGGAAGTGACGCGTATGCAACACAATGGTGTTTCATACAGTAGAAGGGACACAATCATGATATGACGGTAGATTTTTCGCTTCCCTTCCTCATCCTCCCTTCCTCTCTCCACTGCCCTCCAGCTGCCACTGCAGCACCATGTGGAATGAACGGAAGTGTGCTAAGCAGGTGTTTATATAGCCCTAAGAGTGTTATCACAACTATCCTGCTACAAAACATTGATATCTCAAATCCTGTAAGCTACCCGATTTGTTAGCGGTTTGTTTATCCCATGAGCTTCCTTCTCACTCACTTCATTTTGCGGACGGACACACATACATACACACACACACTCACACACACACATACAGATACACAAACCGACACACAAAGTTAGCGCTTTATATAATATAGGAAGGATAGTTTGCAAAAATTTGATAGAGTGCCGTTCTCAAAACTCATCAAAAAACTAGAGTCCATAGGGGTATACCCACTTCTGACTAAGTGGATCAAATCTTTCCTAACAGGACGCACATATCAAGTTCGTGTTGGAGACAAACTCTCATCAGTACACAAGGTTCCCAGTGGAGTTCCCCAGGGTGGAGTATTGTCTCCAATACTTTTTCTTATTTATACAGCGGATCTTCCCCGTTCTTTGGCAAGATTTCAAGTATCATCCGTAATGTATGCTGATGATATCAAATTGTACAAAGTTATTGAAAGTCAGTCTGATTGTGACATGCTACAGGCAGCTATTGATCATATTGTGGATTGGTCTGAGAAATGGAGTTTACCTTTGGCTCCAGATAAAACTAAGCTTTTCTGCATCGGTAACAATGTTATCACTCAGAACTACAAAATTTGGTTCAGTACAATTAGAGCCTGTTAGTGAGATTAAAGACCTTGGTTTTACATTCTCCAATAAATTAAGCTTTGACACACATTACAAGTCACTGGTTTCCAAAGCAAACAATAGAATTTTCAATCTATTCAAAGCACTTCAGACGAAAGACCCAACTGTATTACTGAAAGCTTATAAAACCTATATGAAGGCCAATAGTTGAATCTGGTACCACTGTATTTCTCCCCTATAAGAAAAAGGATATTGTTCTTCTCGAACGTGTTCAGAATAACTTCACTCGAAAGCTTGCCTTTCGTTGCTCTGGACTAAGTTATGAGTCTTTACCTAATGCATGTGAAAGACGTCGTTACTATGCCTTGACATCCTTAGCTAAAAGGAGATTAGTCAATGATCTTATGATGGCTTACAAAATTCTGACTAAAAAAGTTGCTGTAAACCCCACAGATTTTTTCACTTTAGTGCGATCTAGGACTAGGGGTAGTACCATAAAAATAAGACGTCCTGTAGTGAGATCACAGGTCAGAGCGAAATTCTTTGCAATCAGAGTACTACCTTTCATAAATAAAATATTCAATCAGGATACGCTACATTTATCCCTCGGTTCATTTCGTAGAATAGCCATTAGATTAGCTAATGCGGAGGTTTCTTGAAAATAATACCAACTTGACTAATAGACTAGTTTGTATTTGTTTCTTACTGGCTTGTCAGAATGCACCCTTTCTATTACAGATTGTATCTACCTTATTCCTCTCTCCTTTTTGATCGCGATTGTGATCCTCTTTTATTGTGAATCTCACACAGATATAATCCACTTTGATTGTAAATCCCACGCAGATATTCTGCGTCCATGAATAAATAAAAATGAATAAATCATCTGCCTCTCGTGTTGACATTCATAGAATACAAGAAGGCGTTCAATTCTGTAGAACCGGCGAAGGTGTGGGAGGTGTTAGAAGCTCAAGGTGTTGTCAAAGTGTGTGTGGACTTGCTACGGGAATGCTATTCTCATTATACAGCAGTATACCTCCCTTTTTTCAACGATCTAGTTATCGTAAGTGTGTATGACAGGGAGATCCGATATCATCCATTTTGTTCTCGGCTTGTCTAGAGTCAGTCATCTAATTAATTCTGATCAATCTAATTCTCAAGCATCAATCGAGCGTCGTCTTGTGGGCCTGACGTTGAGTCGACAGTGAGATTGTAGGTCCATAACTCTGATGTCAGAGCTATGTCAAGAGTCAAGACGTCCTCCTCCACATCGATGAAGCGAAGCACAGATTTGCTGGACACTTGATGAGAAGAAATGACGGACGATGGAGCACCACTACTGCGCGGTGGTACCCGCGTGAAAAGAAACGACCACCTGGCCGTCCTCCAGGTACGTTGGGCAGACTCTCTAGCATATCGCAACAACGTATATGATCCTGTGTCCCTTAAGGTGTCATTCACTGGACAACGAAGGCTCAAGACCGAGAACAATGGAAGAGAAGTTGGGACCCGCGCAAGGCCAACCGCCGTGCCGATGGAAGGGTCGCCTAAGTATCCTATGTAAATATCTTAAATTCACATGAGAAATCAATGACTTGGTGAGTAACTGTATATTCCTATAATGACATCGCTCTCTTGTCCACATTGAATTGGACAGTACCCTCCCTTTCAAATAACGAGAAAACGTCGGGTGCAGACCATACACCACAAGTGACGACGGCCTCCACAAAATGTAAATGTTTTCTGCCAATGAAATGATTAGCCTGTTGCAGTTGTATTCTATCAGTTGTCACTAATTAATACTATCATTTACCGAAATTCAGCTATGCGTCGTCACTTGTGGTGTATGGTCTGCACCCGACGCTCTTCTCGTTATTTGAAAGGGAGGGTACATCATTTTTGGAACCTTGAGTCGAAGCCTATACTCTACGAAATAAAGTTGTTGTGTGTGCGGTAGAATTCTTTGCAGGAATGTGGATTGTTCGACACGCGAGACCGATCGGTATTCAGATCCTGACTCGGTCGCCTCAAAGCAGCATTTATTCTGGCTATGGGAAGGCGCCAATCAGAAAGCACCCTGACATTGCATCACTGTCGTGACAGATGACCCATATTTTTCTCTGACTAGCGAAGGGAAGCATTGTACACTCATAAATTCCATTTTCGGTTTTCTTCGGACCTAGACCTTTTCAAAGATTGTGTTATTTCTCTATCGTACAGGATGTTATGGCTGAACAGGCCTATTGGCCAATGTTTCGACGATTCGGGACCTGTGAGTCCACCGGCTCCTAATGTCCTCCTCGTGTATGTGAGCAAATAAAAAATGTTTTTAAAAAATTATGGTCTTCTAGAATGAGTCACAAGTCCTGAAGATGACGCATTGTCAGAACGTGTTGGACGTGTTGCACCAACCACAACCAGTATGGCAAGAGAAATAACACACTAACTTTGCACTCCGCCCAAGCCACATTTTGCAGGACATCAATAAGGAAATGCATGGACTCCCCAAAAAAGAGAAAGACAAAGGAGACCTAGGTATAACGATTTAACGCGTATTGCAAATATGGACACTAAAACTGCTACGTGAACTTTGTAAGAAAGTTGTGAGCCTTAAAAGTTGCAAAAGAACGCTAATGATGAGGTGCAACCTATGTGGAAACACGGTTGCTTTTTGCCTGGAACTTGCCTTTTAGGGTTAGGTGGGTGCCCTGATTACGAATATGAGACCTGTGTGGCACTATTTACCCTTTACTGCCCCACTTTGTGAAGGAGCTGGATTTTCATCGAAATTTTTCCTAGAGGGTAAAACCGGCTAGAAACTTGTCCAGGGGGCAGTTTGACCCGTAGAACACGAATATCGCATCCGCTTGCCACGAAAACGCCTGGCGCCCGCGCCACAGGCGCCGGCGCCAATTGGCGCTGGATCACCAAACTCGCTGAAAACTTGCCCCTGGTGTAGTTTGACCCGTAGAACACAATATCGCATCCGCTTGCCACGAAAACGCCTGGCGCCCGCGCCACAGGCGCCGGCGCCATATGGCGCTGGGTCACCAAATTCGCTGAAACTCGCGACGCTACAGGCATTCTCTGATGTAATCGGTGTATCGCTTCGTATTCAAACCATACTTCCTTTTGGGTACCATCTTGAACTTCTGCCACAACGATTCGATGTTCTGGGTGTGGGCGCCAGTAAGAGGATCGACAAAGTTAACCATATGGTTCACGGTGAGATTAAAGATATCTGGCAGGCAATCTCGAGCATTACATGAGTATTACATCTTTCTTTTGCAGATTGTTTGAAAAAAATTATCAAAAAGTCAATTGTTTCACCTAGAATCGAAACGTATTCTATCCGATAACCAACACGGATTTAGGGAGAAAAAATCCACTGTTTCATCGATGTTGGAGGCTTGAGATCGGACTACAGAACTTGCCAAAAACAATCTAGACGTCATCTATTTCGACTTTGAGAAAGCTTTCGATAAGGTCAATCATACTATTCTCTTGAACAAACTCATTCAAGTTGGAATTCATTGTAGTAGATAGTCAGATGGATTGAAGAGTTCCTTAGGCATCGGACTTTTCAAGTCGTGATCAACGGCACATTTTCCTCAATAAGACTCGCTTCGAGTGGGGTTCCTCAAGGAAGCGTCTTGTCGCCTATTCTTTTCAATATTTATACATTTGATTTGCCATTCGCCATACAAAAACTGGGAATTAGTGTCAAAGTGTTTGCCGACGATTTGAAAATTTATGGACCTCCGGAGAATTCTCTCTTTTCGCCGCTTCAAAAGACAATCGATGTTATCAATCTTTGGTCAATTGAAAATAAGCTGCCTCTATCTGTTAGCAAAACTAAGGTACTTCATCTGGGACTCTCTAACCCAGAAATACAGTACCGCATAGGCACTTCAGTGCTTGAATCAGCTGACTCAGTCAAAGATCTTGGATTCGTCATTGATCACAACCTTAGCTTTGAGTGAGCACTTGAGAAACTTGGCAATGAAGGCAGAGCAAAGAGTTTACCTCTTATTCAAATCACTCAAATCTAGGGACCCGTTGTTGCTTATGAAGGCGTATAAAATCTATGTTCGCTCTGTACTTGAGCATGGTACATGCATTTATTTTCCACGTACTAAGGGTTTTATTGCTAAATTAGAGAGGATACAGCACAATTTCACCAGAAGATTGTTCATTAGATCGTTAGGGTTTACCTAGTAGTATTCCCGTAGTAGTGTTCCCCGTGGTGTAATCAGGAACAAAATGCTCAACTTAGACTCACTACACTTAAGGCGGAGGATAAATGATGTTTTGATGGTCTATAACATCCTTAACAGGCGTGTCAATTTGAATGGTGATCACTTTTCAAAATGGTCCCATCCAGGACCAGAGGAGATAAGGTTTAGGCTTTTCTTTCAGCAACCTCGGTCGTCGGTGGAAATTTTTCACTTTTCGAGCCCCCGGGGCAAGTTTCTAGCCGGTTTCGTGCCCAAGGAGAAATTTCGATGAAAATCCAGCTCAATCTTCACAGTGGGGCAGTGAAGGGTAAATAGTGCCACAGGTTCATAACTTTCTTAGGAGTCTTACGTAGCAGTTTCAGTGTCCATATTTGTAGTCGTCGTTCAAGACTCTATCGATACATCTAGGTCTTCCTCCATAATTCAGAGAGAATTTCGAAGCATTTCCTGGTAAAAGCAGAAATTGCCGAATAGTTTGACTCATTCTCGTCTGCAATACTTCTTGAAGGTGCTTCTACTTTTTCCGAATGTTGAAACTTTATACCTCAAATTAAATTCTCTGTAGACAGAATTCTTCACAAAATGCAGAAATTCATTCCCAAAAGTTAAAAGTTCAGACTGCTGCTGAGCACATTTTTTCACTTCACGCTTTTGATCTATGCCGGCCGTTCGCTTATGGAAACCAACCCGGTCTGATTCTCTTAAAGCTCCATTAAAGGTCCATTTGTTGGAACCTTCCTTGATTTTCTCCAGATTCAAACTGATGTTGAGCAGCGCTCAGACTTTCATTCGAAATTGGAAAAAGTCTTTCAGGGAGTGGACTTGGCAGCCACTCTTCGAAATTCTTAAAAAATACGAGTGTACTTGTAAGGGTCGTTTGCTATATACTTGACTGACGCTGTTACCCTTCGAAGGCCATAACGCTGAACTACTGAGAAACAAACTCTTTTTGATTGCAAACTGCAGGGCCATCACTTATCGAGAGCTCGGAGTGTTCAACCAGGGACATCTCAAGCAGCTGGAGACACCTACAAACAACTAATTAGGTTTTCTAGGGACCCATGTGAATCCTGTTAGGTAACTGAATTATAAAATCTTTATTGTTTCTTTGTTATGTCCATGTGCACAATGACGTGGACTCCCAACACCATTCCCACCAAGTTAGTCTTTGTATGCGTTTGTAAGCCACAAGGTTTAAGGCAGCGACTACAATAAAAAGGGAACGCATCGAGGAAGCATATGCACCACACGAATCAGTTACTTGGCTGCCAGGGAAGCGAGGTGTAGCGCTTTCACGACGAAGGTGCGCTGGTTGCTGAGCAGGACTTCGAAAGCACTCCGCCCCCAAAAGCGATCCGCCCACTAGTTTACTTGGTGATTTGGACGAGCTGCGTTGCCAGCAGCGGCACAACTGGAGCATCTCAATAAAAGCGTGACTTGGCATGGTGCCACCAAACGCGTTGCAATGAACTCTGGCTCCCCCACTTTCTTCACGATTTGGGGCGCGGCCGCGGCGAGCGCGGACGAGTCGATAGTGCCCGCGAACTGTGCTGGTGGAGCGTTTTCAAACCTACCCGCACAGTTCGCGGGCACCACCAGTTCGCGTCCCAAATCGTCCCAGAAAAGGGGAGCCATGAACCCTTCCATACGTCCGCTTTCTGAGCTGTACCTCTTCATGAGTGAAAACCAACGGCCAAAAAAGGGGTCCCGTTTTGCGTTTTCTTGACGGATTTCTCCGTTTTTTCGCCACTGGCGCACCATTGAGCAGCACCCTATGAACCTATCCTAATCGCTGCCTTTAATGTACTCCAAGTGCCTTCAGCTCTCCAGAGAAAAATGAGAGAAACGGAAGAAAAAGTTTCCTTGAAAAACACCGAGGCCCACATTCACTGCTTCGGTTAGGCGTGAAATACAAGGTCTCACCACGAACGTTTGGCACCCTATTTCCAGATTTCTTCCTCTAAATGGCAATTCCTTTCTTACCCATTCCGTATGTCCATCGTACGATTAGCAGCACATTCAGAAAATATCCACAAAACATCACCATAATGCTGTAAATGTTGGCTGCACTCACTTGTGACTGAAATATGGAAAGTCACTCTTGCAAAGACATGAAGTGTTGCCTATGTTTCCTTACGATAAATGATCAGAACTTAGATCGTTGAGACTTTTCCGACTTATGTTAGTCAGATTTTCGCATAGAGTTTTTGATGCGTTAAGTTGAAGGCAGGTGCCAGGATAAATCCCTTTTAAGTTGGTGTTAAAGCGCTTAATAATGAGGCGAGGTGCGGATGAAGAGAAGAAGAAACCATCTGAAACGCAGAAGCAGTGTACAACACGCTGTGTAAGATGAGCCACTGTACGACACAGTCACTACATTGAAGGCGATAGGAAAAATAGCCAGTCACTGCGCTTTTGTCACCCATGTTTTTGCGTTGGTGTGAGCGTGGCCAAGTTCCCGTACCATACGTCCGTACCGTACGTGCCAAAAAGAGTATAATATCTGTGATAACAATGATGAAATCACCAGCACTCATAATGACGTTTCTTGGCCATTCCAGGTGCTATGGCCAAAGAATTTTTGCATTTTTCTTGATTTTCTGGAATTCGGCAACCAAATGTTTACCATGTCGTGAAAGACACTCTGGGGTTCCATCGCAAGACGTGAGCTCTTGCCGCATCGCTTCCATTGACGCGTTTTCTGGGTTTTAGAAACAGAGCAGCCAAACATGCTTTCAGTCAAAGACGATTTTCTCAGCCATAATCGCTGTGAGAAACCACGACAGAAATGCTGTAAAGAGATCATTGACTAGGGTTTACATACGTTTTGCAATAAATGTTCAAAAATTATCCCTGAAGATTTTACAATATGCAGATCGAAATGGCCAGACTTTTCCGACAATTCAATATATACGGGGGATTCCTTACAAGGAGGAGTCCACCATTCCACAAGAAATGCACCCTTCGCCGTCAAATTCATAAGCATGTAACCTTCAAAGTTGAGACACGCTAAACAATTTTACACTTCTTGGAAAGAGAAAAGCACGAGGATTCCGAATCTGCTCCTACTTCAGTGCCCCTGAAAGGAGCTATAGTCGTTGAAATAGTGCCAATGCAGCGAAAAAGTACCTTTCGGCGGTACTCGGGCAAAAATCCTCGAACGTGGCCATTTTTAAATAGTGGACGTAGTTGGCAGTAGTAACCCTTGAATGCAGCAAATTTTCTAGTTTATGGTGACACCAGGTTTGCTTCGCCCGCTATCGCGCGCATTAAAGGGTCAGGTAGAAAAAGCATACTCTGTGTAGTACTAGAAGTTTGTAAGTTGTTGTATAGTATGCGATTTTTAGTGACAAGTTTGTGTTTTTTGCTCGTTTGGTAGGACTCATCAATAATGATCATTCTTTGACTTTTTCACTTTTGTACTTCTTAACGAATTTTTTGGTGGACGGTGGGGTAGCAGGGCTTTTTTAAATGTTCGGCTAGTTCGGCTTTTGAAGGGGTTGTTTCATGGACTTTGGCCTTTAGGAGAGAGGTGAGGGGGTCGCATTCCCAAATTTTCCTCTATGGTAGGCCTGACCCTGTGGACAAGCGATGGAGCGATCACGATCGCTCTATTGCTTGTCCGTCGCTGAGTGTGACGGCGGTCTAAGGATACAACGCACTTTCGCTAAAGAAAGACAATTAAGGAGGTTGTGATCCCTCCCTGATATCGAACAACATAGACAACAACCATACGTATTAGCCTGAAGTTCTCCCGCCATCGGAAACCAACTTGCAGTATGAAGACTTGCACTACTCCTCAAATAATAAGCTTAATGATCTCTTCTACAAAATATGGCTTGTATCGCATCGCTCCCTTTTTTCACATGTTTTACTCATCTGTTATCTGCGACTGCCAGATCCATAATCACTCATATTTTCACGACTTCTACACTTATAAAATTATATCCTACTATATATAATCGGCTAAGCGGTTGTGTGTGTGTCTGACCGGAAATTCATAACTTCACCCCCTTTGGACCCAGAGCGCTCAAACTTCTAGGATATATAGGGGGCCGGAGAACACTGATGACGGGTGGCGGGAAGTGATAACTACTGATAGGAGCTGATAACGGACGTCGAAATGTTGATGTCACCAATTTCGTTACACCGTTCGCGTTGACGGTGGAGAGTTTGCACTCATGTATGATATGTGGGGTGAGGCGGGGACCAAGAAGTTGAGTGAACGAATGTGGTAGCAACTGATAAGAACTGATAAGGGGCGTCAAAGTGTGGATACCACCAGTTTCGTTGCGGCCCTTGCGGTTACATTGGAACCTTGGCTCTCACATGTGGTATAGGGGATGGGACGGGAACACGGATAGCGGATGATCAGAAGTGATAACAAGCGATAACGGTTGATAAGGAAGTTAGGATTTTGAGTACTGCTAATTTCGTTGCAGCCTTCGTGGTGACAGTAAATATTAGCTCCTACACGTTGCCTGGAGGTTGGGACCGGGACACCGATTGCGAACAGTATGAACTGATAACAAATGACAAGGAATGATAAGAGCGTTTGAATGCAGGTCTCTCCAACTTCGTTGCAATTATCACTGGCAAGCGATCAAGGTGGCGAGGGTTGAATGTAGGTGACAGAAAGTGGTATGAGCGGCAACTGTACTGATAAAAGTAGCGACAGTTGAGCGTGCACTCAGTTGAACTAAACCAGGTCCCTAGCACGTGAATATGTTCCATTCCTACCTTTCATCTAAAGAAGCAAAGAAAGTTGAGCTGCTCAACTATCTGGACTTGGACCAATAGCGAATATCCATTACATTCATCACAGCTCGGTTAGATGATTATTGATCCCTACTATATATAAAACGCTATGTCTGTCTGTACGTGTGTGTGTGTGTGTGCGTGTGTCACGAAATTCATAGCACGCGTCGCAGCAGTCGTTAGGAGCTGATTTTTTGATATGATATAGTGGGTGGGCGGTAACATATTTGGTGGGGGTTACAAAGTGATAACGACTGATAAGAGCAGATAAGAGGCGCTGAAACACAAATTTCACGAAATATGTAATGCGCTTCGCAGCAGTCGTCAGGAGTTGATTTTGGGACATGGTATAGGGGGTGGGCGGGAACATATCTAAGTGATAACGACTGATAAGAGCAGATAAGAGGCGCTGAAACACAAATTTCACGAAATATATAATGCGCTTCGCAGCAGTCGTCAGGAGTTGATTTTGGGACATGGTATAGGGGGTGGGGCGGGAACATATTTGGTGGGGGTACAAAGTGATAACGACTGATAAGAGCAGATAAGAGGCGCTGAAACACAAATTTCACGAAATATATAGTGCGCTTCGCAGCAGTCGTCAGGAACTGATTTTGGGACATGATATGGGGGTGGGACGGTAACATATTTTGTGGTTTTCAAAAAGTGATAACGACAGATGAGGACTGATAGTAACGATATGCGTACGAACGTAGAGATTACTCGAAACCAGATTGCAGATAATGCATTTCATTTCAATATCATTTCATTAGCGTTATAATTGTAAACTCAAACACCTTTCGACCGCTACACCTTCTAGAGTTCTTGAGGATGAATGGGATGCTCGAATAAATATGATAATGAATACTGGGCATTCCGTTTTGAGATATTCGACCGCTAAATTACCTCGATACTCGACGCATAGTGGTTGTTTACATCATCACTTTAGCTGTGCACTTCACTGCGCTTATCAAACAGTGAGATACAGCCAAGATGGCAACGGACAGTAATGCATTTAACGAAGCAGCTATAGTTAAGCGGTGAAACCCAAAGCTTCACCGATTGTCAGTTCTATCAAAGGCTTCCGTGTCATGCGCGCGGTAGCGGGCGGAGCTAAACTGGTTGATTATATTTCACTTACACACCGATTCTTCAATTGTGGAAATTCTATAAACCGCTAAATCATCCGAGCTCGATATCAATGCTGCTAAATGTTTACGAAGTCATGATAAGTACCATTTTCATTCCGCATGCTACTGCGCGCATTACGCTACAATCTTCAGCAAAATTGGACAGCCTTTGAAATTCATGTGACACATCTTCCAAACATCTTACTGTTAGTTTCTCAGCCACGTGACCTAATATTCAGCAAGTTGTCCAGTTTCACTAAAGCCTACCATGTGATGCGCGCGGTTGCGTGCGGAGCTAAACTGGTATGCACAAAAGAGCGATATTTTAAAACTTACCAGTCACGATCACTGATTAAAAAGAATGATCTCACACTCCACCGTCTTTGAGATTTCATTCGATTATATGATTCCAAGTGCAAACACTTCTCGTGTCAGACAGTAGGGATATACAAAGCACAAAGCAATCGCATAGTTCCACTGGTTTCTGAGCGAATTGAGTTGTAGCTGTCTAAGGAAATATTTTTAATTTTCACACCTTTTGACTCCACCTTTCAACATGTGACGTAGGTCCCGTTCATGCACTAGTGTCACGTACACACAAACTATTCTCTATGTTTCAAAAATACCCTAATTTCCGGTAGATGAACCCGCATAGATCACGTAAGAATACCTCCACTTGTGCAGTGCATGTGCGTACATCTAGAGACAACTCTGTATAGGGGTTGTTTTGTGCCCTGATAACGAAGATATTGGTTTTTGTCAGTAACGTTGGGGCGGAAGTGGTGTAGTGGCAAGTGGCACGCTTACCACGCGAGCGGTCCGGGATCAAATCCTGGGTCGTGAGTCGCCCGGGCCAACCAAGCCTTCCATCCCTCCGGGGTCGGTTAATTGGTACCAGACTTGTCTGGGAGGATAAAAACACTGACTTGTACATCGGCTGGCCCCCGCAAGTCATTGTATAGGCCACATCGCATTCAAACGCCACTACGAATGTACAAATGGAAGTAGAATGCGTGCCGCATCCCAAAAAGGGATTGATCAACATTCGTTCGTTTCATTCGACTGTCTGCGGTCATTCGACTGTCTGCGGCTACGCTGACTGGTCGGTTTAATTGATCGCTCTCGTCATGAGTGCGCAGACCCCGCTCAATCCAAAGAAAAGGAAACCCTCCTCGCCTTACATGGCTTCAATAGCCCATTCTTTACCTGATGACTGTTCTACTCTACTCGCCGAACTTCAAGATGTCCTTCAAGAGAAAGCGCCTGAAGCGCTTCCACTTCTTGAGAAATTGCTTACTATGCTTATTCCCAATCCTAGTGAGATAGTACAGGCGGAGAAAAGGGCACGTTCTGTTGTGATTGCTGGAGTAGCTGAAGATCATGACAATGCCTCGCCCTCCTCCCGTCAAGCTGCTACTGAGAAAGCGGTGAGTAAGATTTTAGACGTGCTCGATGTAGAAGGCAAAAAGGAAGCAGGTAAATCACGTTTCATCAAATGCGTTTTTTCGTCTCGTAGGTTTTACTTCGATACTCTTAAGAATGCAAGATTACTCAGGAGCATCCCTGAGTTCAAGAATGTATTCATCCGCAGATCTATGACCCCTTCCGAAATCGATATGGACAAACAACTCCGCGCCAGAGCTAAGGATCTCAATCAAGGAATGCCTAATGGTGAAAAAGTTTACGTGGTTTTTGGACAACAGGTTGTCAAGAAGTCTGATATTCCTGGCATCCTCAGCCAATCAAAAAACTGAAAAGAAAACATGTCAATCCACGTTTTTCTTGTTTGCTGCTCAATTCACGAAGTTTGGTTAACAAGATTCCTGAATTCCATCATCTCCTTTCTATCTATAAACCCACGGTTGCGTTTGTGACTGAAACATGGCTTAGCACAAAAATCGAAAACAGTGAAATCACTTCAGAATTGCCTTATCTTATTGTCAGAAAAGACAGAATAGGAAGGAGAGGGGGTGGAATATGTATCCTACTTCAGAGTCAGGTTGATTTCAAACCGGTACAATTTCACGTTCCTAACCTTGCCGCAGACGTTCTCTGTATGGACATTCTGAATAATAGCCTCGACTATACTCGTTTTGTGCTTGTATATCGACCTCCAAGTCATACCCTGGCTGAGGATGTTGAGCTCTGTGACCTTTTATCTGATCTGTGTTCTGTCACGAGGAATGTTGTGCTCCTGGGGGACTTTAACCTAGATATCGATTGGTCAATCACTCATGCCCCCTCGCCAAGACAAAGCAGATTTCGCCGTTTTACCTCACTTTTCTCCCATCTTGTTCTTGGACAGCGTTGGCTCTGGAATAGTCTTTGGAAGCGGGCGGGTTCAAACATTGGGTTGGCGCATCGATCAGGAAGGTTACAATGTTGTGATCGGACGTACCCAACGGAGGTCCAATCGCAGCATCGGGTCCTAAATCAGGGGATGAGCTGCTCATTAGTGAGCCCACTTGCGGTCACTCAATACTCGATCTCGTACTTACATCCCCTGATTTAGGATCCGATGCTGCGATTGGACCTCCTTTGGGTACGTCCGATCACAACATTGTGACCTTCCTGATCGATGCGCCAACCCAGAATCTTGAACCCGCCCGCTTTCAAAGATTATTCCAGAGCCAACGTAGATGCAATCAATTCTGAATTGGATAGGTTCAATTGGCTCGATTTATTCAATGGATATCACACCATTGACGATGTCTACAATCGATTCTTGACTGCTGTTCATTCTCTTATCGATCGCTATGTGCCAATGAGAAGAATGATACACCCTTTTGATAAGTACCCGCAGCACATCAAAAATCTTTTTCACCAGAGAGAAAGATTGTTCAGTACACTTGAAGACCCCCTATTGTCTGACAGGTATAACAGAGTCAACAGAGATTTCACGTTCCACCTCAAACGTTATCTTGCCTCCAAAGAAAGGAAACTTTCTGAGTGCCGTAATATGAAGAATCTATTTTCATATGTTAGCAAGCGCTTAGGCAAGAAAAAGAAATCTTTTTGTTTATATGATTCCGATGGTCGTGTTCTTACCACTGATTCTGAGAAAGACCAACGTCTTGGCAGATTATTTCGCTAGTGTGTTCTCATCCACAGAAACTTTACTTGGCAGTACGCCCATTTTAGTCAATTCTGAGTGCCTTTCGCCGATTATCGATCCCAACCTCGTTTATAAATATTTACGCCAAATCAAAAGTTCTTGCTCGTTACCCTCGGACAAAGTTCCCGTTTCCCAAATCTTAGACTCCAAGCGGTGTAGATCCAGCAAACTTGCCTTCGACATATCGCGACTGACCCAACACCAACGTATTGGGTTGTCTCGCAATTTCGACACTTTTGTTTATTCAAGTTTTATCTCTTCTAGGAAACAACTGATCAATAGCATAACCACCATCATGGTCACTGATATGCGTGCATTTGCTAGTGGGCGTTTGGAAGCTTCCAGCCCAGAATGAAGGAAACTGGGGGTTGAAGAATTTGGAGAAGTCGTTTTTGGGGTGGTCGCAATCTTTAACTTTCTTCTCTGGCAGATGCTTATTCAGGCGCAGGGGAGGCGATAGTCCGATAGAGCGATGCCAATGCTATATGGTGGATGAGGTATCGTGGCCCTGGCTATCTCCCTCAGAACGTGGTGAGTTGGCATTGCAATGTGAGGTCTGGCGTACATTCGGAGAAAGGAGAATCTGAG